CAATTCAATTTGGTGATTTTATACTGCAAGAATAAGCAAGAAATTATACACTGTCATCCTGCTATAACAGGGAATTTTAGATGACAGAATATAGACAGATAAAGATATTTATATCTGTTCTATAATGTATTTGGTATAACATTCACTTATGTTTTTATTTTGCATAAAAAGAAAGATTTGAAAGAATATTTAAAGCACTTTTTGCCTCAGGATTGGAACACAGAGAGCAAATGTACTTCCCCTGGTTTTTATGGGCTAAAAGAACACACTTATTCTGGTTTACTCATACATATAATAGTGGCTGTTGCCATGGTTTTGTTGCTTCATTAAGCAACATGTTAAGCATACACAATGTTATGTTATAGAGCTTGGACTTGGTTTTGGTGTTTAGACAATGGAAAGTAAGAGAGCTTTATTTAGGACACTGTGATTCACAGTGCTGTCACCACAATGATGACTGCTCTTTGATTTACTGCTGTATCTGGACCCACAGGGTTTGAGCATGTGCTGAAAGCCGACTGAACACATCATTCAGCAAATAATCCATCATAGATAGAGCTCGTGCCTCAGTGGCAGGCAGGACCAAATAGCGATGGGAGAAGTATTCAGATCTTTTAAAACAGTAAATCACTGTCAAAATACTGCAATATAATTCATAGTCTTGCATTTAAAACCTTATATGTAGAAGTGCATTTGCAAGTCCCTGACATTAAAGTCTGAAAAGTAGCTGTTGCATGCATTGCATCATATATATTGTTATATATGATATTATTAGATTGTTAATACTGATGTGTGATCAGTGTGTAAGTTGCATTTTGTAACTGGCTAATGTGGAACTAGTTTATGTAGGTAGTTCAGTCAGTTGTTTCCCAACCTAAGAATCAGAGAATAAAGCTGGTTGATCATGAGATGATTAACGGGTAAAAATAGAGTGGGTTTTTGTTAGGGTTAGGTTCACAAGCCAAAAAGATTGGCAAACAGTGGGCTTTATATAAGCTCATAACTGGTCTAAGCATCAACTGGTTTAAAAAAAAAGTATACATATCGATGCAGCAGAACCAGAGATATAATATTAGGTCCATGCATCCTCCATCCGTCAAAATCCAGTGCCTACATTAAACAAAATGCTACTTGAGTGCCGACTTAAGTTCGGTCAGAGACTCTGATGTGTTATGCTACTAGCGGCTAATGTAGCTTCAAGAAGAGATGAGGAGCCGGCTACAGAGGTCTGGTAAGATCACTTCTTTATAGCTCCACACTCCCAGATTTCTTTTCATTTTCAAACTTGTACTCTTTAGCCACTAGCAAGGCTGACTCAAGTGACATCACTTGAGGTCATTTATCAAACTTTACGCAGCTCCTTCTGGAGCCACTAAAGGCTTTGTACAGCCTTTTACATATGAAGGACTCCCCATCTTTTTCTTATGTACTTTTTGGTCAGAACTTCTTGTACGCTTTGGGAATTGCTCTTTGCATTTTTTTAGATGCAAATGATGCTCAGGCACTCTTGAAATACCCTCAAGTATGGGTATGTGTTGGTGCATGAAACCACAAAGTGCAGAGATGTCGTGCAGCTTCACTTCAGCTAAGAATCGGTCTATTCTTCTGCACTCCATGGTAGTTAGGGTTCATGAAAGAGTTAATGAAAGCCTTGAAATGTCCTTTTCGTTCGATGCTTCCAGAGATGTTCGATCTGTAGAAATAGAATTGTAATTCTATGCTAAAAAACGATATACCTCTAATTTGTCTGAGCTCTGATTGGAGCTTTATTGCTATATATAAGTTTATGATAGTTCATGGGACTTTTTTTTGCTCTAAAATACAGATTACTTGAGATTCCTGCTGAAGTCGCTTCAGATTGAGGCCTTTTGGGGTTAGTATTTCTTATTCCCCTTGGGCCTTTATTGTGTGGGTTACAGTAAGTTCAGTCGTAGAGGGCAGAGGGAGGGCGTTTTTGACTCCAGCGGTTGATATCAGGGGGGCGCTGGGACACTTTTAACTCCCTGGCCTATCTGTTGTGGTGAAGGGTGTGTTCATCTGTGGGAAGGATTGGCGCTAAATGTCTAGTTATGCAGGATCCCACGTTCTCAACTTTCCCAGGGTACACAGTAACTTAATGTGGCACATGCTCTGTAATCAGTGATGTCAAACACCACATGAGGCACAGTCTCGCAGATAAAGCTCAGAAGCTATCGGGGACCCTGCGGTGCAAAACACACGTCCCTCCTGTTGTCAGAGCTTTAATTACGTTCATTTCACACGGTACAGATCATGAAGCCATTTTTCTGGTGCTATATTCATCACCTGCAGCTTGCTATATAGCCCTCTTTGAATGTCAGCAAGAGGATGCTCTAAATTAAGATAAACATAAGTAGAAATATGCTTGTAAATTTTATTTATTGGCATTACGTTTACACTGAGCTGTATGAAATTTACTCGATCGCAATCTTATTTGTTTTCTGGCATCTTTTACTATTAAAAACTGTTTTAATAATGTTGGATAATGAAGTTTATTTGTATGAATGGGTGTGGAACAACAAAGCAATCACACTGCCAGATTGCAGTTTCCGCCCCAACTTTTAGAGTACTCAGCAGGTCTGTTTGTTTCTGTTCCCAGAAACCCAAATGGTCCAGAGATCAAGGTGCTAGACCTGGAAATGAAACACAAGCCTCCAGATGGAAAAAAGTCAGGTGAACGACCACAGCTAGACCCCTTGGGCCGAGCATTTAACTCTCCACCTGAAATTCACCCATTAGAAAAAGCAGTGTAAACATATGAGGCTGCCAAAGAAACCTTTTCCCCCCAAAAATGAACTCTCATTCTTCATCCAAAATTTAGTCATTAGTTGTACACAGTACAGATCATTAAGGGAATGCCACTTAAGATATTTAGGAATATATCTATTTATGGTTGACTTTACAGGTTTCTGTGTACATCTGAAGCCGTATTTGATATTTCTGTGAGATTTCTGGCAAGTTTATTGCACAAATGGAAGCTTTGAGAAACACCTAAGGGACTGTATAAAACTATTTGGGTGGAGAGGTAGGCTTAACCTAATCTTTAACTGTTTTTTGTTTACCCTATCTGAAACCACTTTTTAAGTTGCTCATAGAGGGTGGAGGCATCATCACATTATTTTAGGTTTGATATTTAGAGAAATATGCTTATTTGCTTTCTCACCAAGAGTCAGCATGTTCAAGACCAACACCGCTCATGATCTGTACAATTCATATAACATTTTGATACTTTGATTTGATAAATTTAGACAAATGAGACAAAACATGTTAATAAGTGAGCTTTATAGGGGCGGGAAAGGTGGACTTTGTTACCTTCATACAGAGCTAGGTTTATCTTTTTTTCCCTGCTTGTTTAAAGTCTTTAGCTTAGCTGGCTGATTGGGGTGGCTTCATATTTACTGTACAGATGCGAGAGTCAACCTTCTCATCTAACAGTAGGAACGAAAGCTATCTGTATTTCACAAAATGTTGAACTGAAAAGGTGTTACTGTGTTCCCACATCAATAATTTCCACAAAATCGCAAACCCATAATTCACACAAGGTAGGTCTATATGTATAATCAAAGCTTTAAATGTCTTGGTTTGCAGTTTGGTAAACAGCGGAAGAGCAATAAAGACAGTTTAATAGTTTATGTTTTAAAGTGTATGAGTTCAAGACATGCATGCACAACCAATCATATACATAAGTTCTGATATCAGGGCACGCATGACAGCTATCGTAACTTTTTGACCTCTTTTTATACAATAAATGCCACAAGGGAAGGCTAAATTCAAATATAATTATGGGGAAAGAAAATAAAATCCTCCCTAGTTCTCCCAAAAAACAGTACATAATATAATTTACTTCTTGGGGAAACTAATTATCTGGAAATTATATTTTTCAGTGGGGATAATTATTGTGAAAGTGCCAGTTATGTACTAAATTAAAATATATCATATCTTCCTCAAAATATAAAATATAAAACTGTTTTGAGTACTGAAAGAGGCCAGCAGTGAACAGTTTCATCCCTGTAGACACTGGGTTTGACTCTCTATACAGCATGATGTATATAACCCATGCCTCCGTGGAGCAGGGCAGGGTGGGTGACTGTGGTCACTGTCTCAGCCCTCTGTGTCTCCAGTGGGCCACCCTACACATTTCTCCCAGTGGCACTATGCCAAACCCCAAGGTAGCAAGCCATGAAAATGAGAGCCTTAGGAGTTAAAAAAAGATATGTTTTGATCATCCTCTTCATCTATTTATTCCCGTACTTGTTCTGCTATATCTATAGAATTAGTTTTGCCGGGCAAGAGGGAATTAAAGTTCAATCGTTTAGGTTTTCTGCTACCTTACCATTATTGCTACCAAAAGGGTTGCAAATTAAGATTCTCCTTGTCTCTCGGGAACCACTAAGAGACTGAAAAATGCGTCATAAGGGACATGATACAGTAATTTGTGGTTTTGACTATAAATATGATGCATGATACAGAAACAAGTATTGTGTATTCATTTTTCCCATAGGCTTTATTTAGTGAGGTACCTGCAGCAATTTTCATAATCCTGAGGCAGCACTTTCTTCACAGTCATTTTTAAAGTAGCTGTCGAACTGAGGAATATATATCTTCTTACACTTTTATAATATTAAAGAAGTAATTGCCTTCAAGGTATTTAATGTTAAAACCAGACATTCTGTGTATTATTGACATTCTGTGGGAGTCCGACAGACCCTACTCCTATATCCTATATAAGCATTTTTTCTTTTAAATATATTTTTAGTTTTCTTCTGATTTTATTAAAACCCTATATGTAGAATAGTATAGAAGTAACACTTTAACTTTGCCACAAATTGAGCGTGTGCATTTGATGAAGGTGACAAAAAGCACAATTATTACACCAAGTAAAGAAATATTTATTGTTTATACATGGTATATGGTACATTCATGTACGGATATGTATTTGTCACAGTGTTTGACTTGCTATATATAGTTCTTTATAGTTTTTTTATTTCAAATATATCAAATTTTTGTTTGCTAGAAGGTAATTTACAGAAAAAGAAATGTCCATTATGTCATTCTTCACAATGACGTTATTTAAGGTCAATTAAGCTTAGAGGTCTAATTCCCTTTTAGACCTCTTATAAATAAACAATTATAAAACTCCAGTAAAAGTAGTCTAAACAGACCTGGGATTTGGGAAGGCTAGTGCGGCTTAAAAATACTGTCAGCACCGATCACAGATATAGAGCATGTGGAAAATAATTGTATTTATGTTATGCTTAAAAGCTGTGGGCTCTGAGTGCCCAAACAGAAGTAATGCATTCTGAAATAGTTAGTTCAAAATAACATTTATAAGCAATTCTCATAAAATTAGGAAAAACCATGAAATATCAAACTAATAATAAAAATGTTGAGGACCCCTCATAACTTATGGGCAAAAACGTCTTATGCGTCTTACTTTCTTCCTTGTCCATACAAAACAAAACTATGTTAACATGTAAACAATTACATCCTACAGTCCAGACAGCCAACATTTCTTCTTAAATTTAGAAAAGCACAAGAAGAAAATGTTCTTGTTTTCCTTCCTTACTGAGTCTGTGGCAGCCCATATTTATAATGGGAGACCAATGTCTGGGGGTATCCAGACATTTCATCCATAACTGTTCCCTTTTGCATCCAATCCACTCCCCTCATGTGTAAAATGTCCATCTGGCCAGCACCCTGCAGTGATCCAGAACCCCCGCCTACTCATGCACTGAACTCCAGATTGCAAGTGTTACATTCACATGAACAGGAAGTACTCATCAGTAATCATCTTCTTATATACAATAAGAGGGGAATCTAAATGCATCAGATAAGAAAGGTTTTATAAAAATTAATCCAAAAACAGGCCTTATGGAGTCTTCATTTATGCAGAAGAAGGTGTACTTGTGTCTGTATATTTTTATATTTTGGTTACTTACTGGCTGTTGGTCAACATCAAAGATGAGAAAAACATTTTTGAGGCACAGCATAACCACAGGTGTTCAAAACAACATTAATACTCCCAGAGGATGTCCGTGAGAGGGGAAAGGAGTGGACATAATCCCGGCTTCAGGTCCACCCAGTGGTCACTGGTCATCAGGCACGGCCCAAAGCTCAGCCAGTCACAGAATAGAACCCCTCACAGTCAGTCCACATAAACTGAGAGAGGCTCCTTCACATCGCAAAACAAGTACGAAAAAAGTCAAAGCTTTGTGTTTTTCTCTGCACTGATACCTTTTAGTGGTTTATCCAGGAGTGCTTACAATTAAATCCATAGATTAACAATATTACAAGGACGCGATATTGAGGAGTGGACATGGCAATTTTCCTGCAACCACATAAAAGAAAAAAATCTAGAAATGTCATTTTCTTGGGTTTTCTGGGATATGAATTAGTTTATCTATGAGTCAGAGGTTAAATTTACATTCAAAGTGAGAAGTCAAAGCTTAGTGTATTCTTGTAGCCCTTAATCCTAGTTACTCTCTAAAGAGGCTTCATAACACCCACGCTATGAAACATTACACAAGGACTGCTCTCAGGCCCTCGGTGAGAACAATGAAAAGCTCCCACAAGAACCTCATTAGGAGGGAAAACTGAACAGATCTTGGCAGGGGCATCACAAAGACATAATCCCTTCCAACATGCTCATAATTCACTATTTATCTAAACTGCAATTAGTCACTCAACCCAGGCCAAAAACTTACAAGCAGTCCAGCCAAATGCACAAGTTACTGTTCCAGCTCCTTTAGGCGTCTCCTTAACTTCTGTCCCAAAATGCATCAGGATAAATAAATACGCTCAGTTATGGTTAGCCTTAATGACTAAATTACAACAAAAATAGACAAATACATCTGGAGTGTCATTTAACTTAATGATACGTGTTCAAGTTTATTTACAAGATTTACATACTGTACATGTGTACACACTGGAGTTTGTGTGCTATTATTTGGAGTGTACGTCTGTTGTGTTCCCTAATAACATAGAGATGATGTTGGTAAAAACTGCCTCTGATTTCATGTTCCAGACACAGCACAGACATGTCTTTTTGGTCGCTCGTAAAATTAACAGAAATGACCCAAAACTCTGAACTTCCTCGACCTGCTTGCTTTTCATTTCTAAACCTGTAATTGTGCTTTTTTTTTTCAGATCATAAATGTATATTAATGCACGAGTTGAATAAAAAAGTCTCTCACGTGCAGCCTCTCAGTTGTTGACTTTCTATTTCCAGCTTTATGCAGACAAATATACACAGTCAGTGGAAACCATGATGGCGGGGATGCATATATACAGCAATGGAGGACGGTCAAATTCCCTCTGGTCATCAGGTTGACCACAGATGGTTTCCATGTAAAACACCACTGTCTGATCAGTGAATATATGCCCCTGAGTGTTCTCTACAATTCACTTTATAGCTATTGCTGTCTAGGAAATGGCTCAGACATGCCGCCCTGAAAAAGTGCACTGCTTGCTCTTTTGCATTTTGAAACCCGTTATTTACACAATGTATTTTCTTTTTTCTAATTGAGGAAAGTGCCTGGTTCAAGGTCCATGAATTGAATCCTTGTACAGAGTTTTCCTAGATGAGTCTAATCTAGAAAAATTATCAGTTAGGAAGTAGACACTTATCCAGCCAGAAATTAATGTAATTGTCAAGAGTGCAGAGATGCACATATTTGCATATACATATACAGACAATAGATTGGTCTATCTGTGTCCTCAAAAGCCAGTGCAGCTTGTGTGCATCAGCTCACCGTGGAGGTTACAGAGAAACTGTGGCTCTGCAAGGTCTCTCTGACAAACCTTGCACTTCTGCCCCTTGTCCAGTCTGAACTTTGTTTTGGAGGCTGGCATCTGCAGGGGAGAGAGTGAAAGGGCAACAGGGTTCAGGAAAAAAAAAGGAAACAAGAATACACACAATGTTCACTGGAGCGAGTAAAAATGTGAAATATGTTGTTAAACTCACCCAAATGACCTTGTGCCGCATGAGCTCTGCCTGGCTCAGAGCTTTTTGCAGCCTTGCCATCTGCCTCTGGTGCAAGGTCTCTCTGAGGGATCCAACTAAGAACTGGGAGACTAGTTGAACAGACCAGGAATCAGGCAGGAGCTGGATGACCTTCTCTGCTGCAAACACCCGAGGGTTGTTGTTAAGCAGATCCACGGCAGCGCTGGTGAGATCCTCGGAGCTCAGGTAGATTTGGAGCAGATTGAGCAGCAGGGTCTGCCTGAACTGTGAGTCCTGGTCCTGGGCAGCCCTGCAGCAGAAGGCCTCTGCAGCCTGGAGGTCTCGCTCCTGGTAAACAAGCACCTGCAGTGCCTGAGAGTGTTCACCAGTCTTGCTAAGGAGAATGGCTTTCTCTATGTGCAGGGATGTTGACTTGACTCTCTCTGCGATGGGAATAAAACAAGACTTATAATTTGGTAATTATTAAGTAATTATTTATTTTCTCATAAGGCATACACGCACCATACACAGTGGAGACGTCATAAAATCTGGATTCCCATAGCTGCTCTTGCAATTTCCCTCTGGTCTTCCTCAAATCTGTTTCCTCTTCCTCTTGCAGCGTCTGAGTAACATATGCCAGGGCCAGACGGTTATGATGTCTCTCCTCCTGGGGGCAGATTACACCAATGATGTCCCAGTGCATTTAATAAAGGAGTCTGGTTATTAAATTATGCAGCTTCTGCTGTACCCACCTCACTGTTCAAATCATAGATTAAGAACTCAAGATACAAAATCAATGCCAGTGGGTACTTTTCCAAGAGAGCAAGGACATCTTGTGGCTCAATTTGATCATCTGGTGGACGCCTGCTGAAAATCTGCACACCTATCTTTTTCAAATGAAGGAAAGCTGTTATTGGCCATTTGATTACCAATAATTGTCGCATAAGCAAAGCAATTTAGTTAATATGGTGGGTGGCATTTTGCTGTGTGTTTATATCTGTAACACACAGTTGTATTGTGCAACTCTGCCCTCTGCAGTTAGGTTGAGAGCATGAAAGAACGGAAAAAAAGGCACCTCCTGGTTTTTCTGCAGAGTCCAGACTGCAAATTTCCACACAGCATCTCTGTCTTGCAATTGACTGAGAGTCCACACGATGTGTCCATACACATCTAAGCAAGAAGGATCTTTGTGGACACCATCAGCAATTTTCACCCAAGTCTGGAAGAATATAACAGGCTGAAACACACTTCTTTTATACATACAGAATATGTACGACAGGTGGAGTTTTGGGAAATAATACCTTAATTGCATCAGTTTGATTTCCATGGCTTTGATAAAGAGAACCTAATGCAAAAAATCTGAAAATAAAAAGAGACAAAACAGAAAATCAGAAATGGCAAACATTGAAATTAAGCCTTTTAAGCCATTGTATAAAAAACTATAACAATTTTTGTACTTTAAGCAAGTGTGAGTAAAATTTTTCAAAAAATTATCATTCATTTCCACCTGTTGTGTTGCTCCAAAACAGAAGCACAGTGCTGCAGTCTGCATTCATTGGGAAATGTTACAAGCTGCTGCAGATTTTCTGTGTCTCCCAGTTCAACATACAGCCTCAGGAGGGCGCAGTCCACCTCCTTAATACACTTCAGGCCTTGCTCCATCTCTCTGACTGCTATGAGAAAATCTCCCAGGAAGCCCAGGTAATGATGAAATGAGTTTCTGTCCTTTTGCCAGAGCACCTGGAGATCCCTGCCTTTATTCACTTGATCAAGCTGGGATTGAAAGTCCTCGATTAGTGAAAACTGCATGTCAGGGTAGAGACGGATGATTTCTCTGGGGTCCAGCTCACCTTTACTGTTAAAATGGGTAATGAGTATTGATTTGTGTTAGACGTAAGTGTAGAATTCAGTAGAAAAGGACCCACTCTTCACAAAATTCACATATCACTGAACAGTTTGCTGTGATTCATTTAGCGTATTTGGAATTTGGAGTGTCGTGAAAGGGGTTTTACTCTCACATGAATAGATCTCTGGCCTCAGAAAAACCCTGCTGGTAAAAATGAACAAATCCAGCCAAGCAAGTGATGGCCTTCTGCAGCTCCTGAAAAAAAACAAAAAATGCTTAAAACCAGGCACACGTTGCATGAACATATTTAAAACACCAATATGTGAGCTGAAATCATTGAGGCAGAATTTGCTGAGACTATCCTTACATTTTGAGGGCAATATGTTACCCCACTTTAAGATATTGAATTAGCAATAAACAGACACATCATAAAGAGCAACTTATGACTCATCAGCGTGTTAATTCTGACACCCTCACCTCTAACCTACTTGAGATATGGTACAGATTACACTTCCAATCTCAGAAACCATCTGCTGTCTGCATTTGCATTCATCCAACTGGAATACACCTACAGTAACTGCTCACAACAATCTGTTCTACAGTGATGAAATATTAAATTCAAACACTACAATTCAACGCCAGCTGGACTTGTAGTGATGCATAAGAATGCATTACAAGCATGCAAAAAGAATTTAAGCTAGGCTAATTAGCTTTTAGAAAGGCTGGTTTATGCTATTTTGTGCTTATTTGTTATGATTTAGCTACTGTGTATCAATGTAGTACAACAAACTAAAGATTCTGACGTATCAGAATTGATTTTCAAGTCTGTCAGTCAGTCCATCACTTTGATCCAGAATGAAATCTCAACGTACAGGAAAGTTGCCTTGGTGCAGCTCAATTATGAACCAATATTTAGTTACTGCATTCTGCCTTTGTAGAGCAGAATAGTTTGGCAGATTGTTGTTTTCTTCTCAATATATGGAGAGGGACCTTTTGTGTCCTGCTGTGTGTCTATAAATAGCATTTTACCTTGTATGAGTGAAGTGGACGACGGCCTTGAACTCCATCTAGTAGCAATAAGGCCTCCTCGACCCTCTCATGCCTTACAAGTGCCTGGATCTGCTCTTCGAATGGCACCAGATGCAGGCTGAAAATGTCTCTCTCTGTGAACACTAACACACCATCTGAGGAGAGATTTGTTGTTGGTTTTCAGAAACACTCAATGTGTAGGAACAGTAGGCGCAAGAATGATTGACTGAATCAGTGCAAACCGAGACAGACAAAGCTACATCTTTCTAAACAAAACCACAATTCGACTTGGCTTTCTCTCTGTCTGGAGTCTGCCTGGATTAGGTGATGAATTGGTGTTGTCTGGTTTACCTGATATGGAGAGCAGACCCTTTGCACCGCTCAGACTCACAGTCTGTTTGCACTGCTGATCTACCATGCTGTAGACAGATAGCACTTGGGACTGCAGGGTTAGGATGTAAGGGAAACATACTCCGGCTGCCAGCACCTCCTGAGGCCACTGCAGGGGAGGGCGCTGGCATATCCCTGTCTTCATCACAAACATGCCTGAGGGATGGAGGATGGAGAAATGATATCTTGCAAAAACAAATAGCCTCTGGCTAGATGGTTATATGGGCGAGTGATATGTGATGATTAACTGTATAGCTGCTTTGGAAAGGAACCATATAATGACACATGTCTGTGCTCGACAGCCTGTAGAACAAAGTGTACCATAAACATTTTGGCAGCTCTTACCCAAAGATTCAGGTCCGTTCAGGAGGAATTCCCCTTGTCCCACTGAGGTAACAATGACACCCTGCCTGCTGTGACTGTGAGGAAAAAGGTCTTCACTGCTCCCAGTCTGAATATCACAGAGGAGATACCTGTCGCTGGTAGCTATACACAGACTGGCACCATCTACTGCCAAGGCCACAGGGTCCTGGAGCAGAGTGACTTCCTTTACAACCTCCCACCGGTCCACTCCCACCACGTGGATCCGGATAATCCTCCTGCGGCTGGAGGAAGTCACCATCTCAACGCAGGCTGTCTGGGATTCGAGCAATGAGTCGCAAACCTCAAACAAAGTCACATGCTGGATCTTCTTCAGAGCCAGAACGGGCTCTAAGGAGAACATGTTGAGGGCTATAATGCTCCGGTCCCACAGGACCAGCAGATGGTTGAAAAGTGGGACTGCCCTGAGTTGGGATACTGGGTTGCTTGAGCCTAGTTTTCTTGCCCTACCTTCTCTGGTTTTACTTTGGCCAGGACTCGGGTCTCCATTTGTGGTACTGGGAATGATGAGATGCTGGACTGTTGCATCTTTGGTCCCTATATACAAATTCCGGTCATAGCACTCAAGGCACTGGATGCTGGATTTGTCCTTTTCTTTTGGGGCTGCTTGCTTTTCATAGACTTTTGTCTGTGTAAATGCTCTAAAAGCCATTGCAGAAGTTTAAGGATGTTGGATTCTTGTGGGAAATAGAATAAGAATAAGTATCTGCCTAAATCAAAGCTACAGATCTTCTGTGAAATATTTAAAATAAGACGTCCCTACCTCTCTGCTGTTCTCCCCATTCCTCCACAAGTTTATGAAGTGTAAAGTAGTTTCACCTCCCCATGTGACTATATCCTGACAGGAAATCTATGTCAGCATTTTACGCCACTCATCCTGCCATGTGAGGACACTTACACAACTCCTGCAGCCCTTACCAAGAAAACCAACTTTTACAAGTATCAAAACAATAGGTATGGTGAAGAAGACAGATATTTTGAGGTGCCCACAGTTACGGTCTCTTGTATTTTTGGCTGGTGTGTGCACCAAAGTGGCGACTTTGGTCAGTGGATAATGGATAAGTAGGAGAGCAAGTGATCTGCTGATCAAACCATATATGGTCGCTCTGTTTGTTTACAATGTGAGTGTGCTGGGTGCGACGAGGTCAAGAGGCAACAGAAACGCACCAGAGGTTTGTTTTACAGCAATGATTGTCTAAAGGGTGACCGAGAGGGGACAGTATGGTCATAAAAAGATCTGGATTTCAAACCTTTCATCAAAGTTATATTTATCACACAGACATATGCAGACTTCTCCTCTGGATGGCATCATTGGAGCAGAATAAGACTTATTAGGATGAGCAACAGCAGACAGATAATGAATTCATTTTCAGCATGATATACATGAAAGGTTTTTATTGGAACAACATTTACCGTTTGAGAGAAGCTTAAATCATGCAGCATGTTTTGTTTCCTCAGTGTAAATACATAATTTATCTAGGACATCATAACCAATGGATATAAAGCATATAGCAGAAATGTATTAAAGAGAAATATGTTGCAAAACCCAAAATCAATTAAAGCTGCAAGCAGCGATAAGCGGGGCCTCACACTCACTCACTAACCCTAAGGCGCGTGTCGGAGTGTGCTGCGGCCGCGTCACGTGCCGTCGTAACACGTGTGGACTACAACATGAACATTTCACGTAAATCAGATCAAAATCGGCACGCAGCGCTTACTTCCTGTTGCCAGTAGGTGGCGCTATCACCATATCTGAATATTGTCATGTAGACTTGTTCAGGGCGGGACTCTTATCAAACATGTGAAGTTTCATTGAGATTGAACCATGTACACTGAAGTTATGAGGACATGTTCAGGGTGAGACTGTTGCAGAATATGTGAAGTTTGTGGAGGTGTTCCTGGCACGTCCAGCTGGAAGGAGGCCACGGGGCAGACCGTGGACCAGGTGGAGAGATTTTATCTTCACACTGACCTGGGAACGCTTCGTGATCCCAATTTGCCAGTGTGGCCAGGGAAAGGGAAGTTTGGGGTCCTTGGAGTGCTGGACCTGCTACCCCCGAGACACCACCCCGGATAAGCGGATGAAGACGACGATGATGATGATTTTTGCTGGTTGCAGATAGACAATTTATAGCTGTTTGATGTGTCATACATGTTATTTATTTAACTTTTGTCCTGTCATAATTCTTAACAATAATCACATTGGACCATAGAACTTGAAAAAGTTTGTTTTTGTTGAGAAAGAGGCAGATGGACCCAACTGAGCGTGTTAGAAAAAAAAGGAAAGAAAAACAAATTATTGTATATTCATACAGACAACATACATCTGTTGTCTCAGTTTTCAATTCAGGTACTATTTTCTCCCCCTTTGGGCTCAATTTAAGTTCTTGAGCTTAATGCAACATAGGTAACTATTAAGCCCTGTGCATCATTTTAAATCAATAAGTGGTTACACCTCTGGCTTAAATAAAATCCCCCAGAACCTCTGGAAGAAGTAGGGGTTGTTTTAAATTTTGGGCATTGCTTTGGCCATTGCTCATCCAGGGATGAAGTAGAAAATGGTGCAAAGATACTCACAGGGTTGTTTGTCCCTGGCCCTAGACAATACACAGGCATTGTACTCTCCTCCAGCATGTAGAAAACCACCTTAATTTTCTTCCTCTCCACCTGATACACTTCACGGTCAATTATGACCATGAAATGATCATGGGACTAACAAAGGCAAACTAAATGTGACAGAACAGACATAGGAAGAAAAATACTGACAAATAAATCGGTTTCACACTGGCTCCTCTCTTGGAGACTGACTGGATCAATCTTAGGCACTGTCCCCAGGAGGACCATGTGAACCACAATCCATGAAGATATAGATTATGTCTGATGCAATGCTTACTTCAATACAGCAAAAGATGTGTTCATCTATCCTCAAATGTAATTTAATTTAGGTCTTTATTTATCAATAATCGTTGCTATAACTGAGGGTTTCAGCCTAGTCCAGAAATTTAAAAGGGACCTATTACGCTAATTTCCAGCTCTATATTCTTAGTCTGAGACTCCACTAATGTAGCTTTGCATGATTGATTCTTTAAAAACATACATCCTTATGTATCTTATACTGTCAGTTCGTCGTCTGTCTGAAATAAGCTGTTTCTTTAAAAGTCTAGTGTGTAGGCTTTATTGGCATCTGGAGGTGTAGTTTCAGATCGCACCCTCCACTTCCAAATGCGAATGAGAGACTACAGTGGCTGCAAAATGCCCCTATCTGGACTTTAGTTTGTACCTTCTGGGTTACTGTAGAAACATGGAGGTTCAACATGGCGGACTCAATAGAAGCTGACCTGCGGCATCTGTAGATAAAGAGCTTGTAAACACTGCTTCATCCTTCAAGAACAAAATATGGACAATAGCAATATGGGGCACTGAACTTGATTAATGTTTATCAGACCACAAATGAGACATGGATTAGATTGAAAAAACTATAGATGCTACCAGGGACAGGGCCTAAGTGATTACTGTACAAAAGCACAAAACTTGTATAACTTTATTAATTGATGTTAATGAAACTGGATCATATGTCATCTGTCTGCTCTCCTTCAGCTTAAAGTGATGAGTTTACTGATATATAGCTGCAAACTGCAGCCTATTATATTACATGTGACATGTTAGTCAAATTAAATTCAAATAGAGCACCTGCATTGATCTATTTTATTTGTGAACCTAACCAGGAACAACAGTTCAGGTGGCAGCAAAGTATAATTGGAATGACAAAATTGATCTGCCCACAGGTGCCGTGTCTAGGAGGGGTTGGTAGTGGCGTCCTTTTTTTTTGGTCCCTTTCTCCTCTAAGGATGCTTTCCAGTGATTATCCCCATTGATTATTGTTTTAGTTCAAGATTATATACCTGCCCTAGAAACCATCCCACATGGGAATTTAGGAACTTAGAAATTCAATCTAAATTAGAGGTTTGTTTTTTTTGTTTTTTTTACTTGCTAATTCTACTAGCTTGGTCTAGTTGGCCACAAAAAGAAAATTTCTCTTTCAGACCATCTTTCTTTGTCTTTGTGAGAACCATAAAAATGACATTACCTTAAACTAGAGAGCCATTAGACTTTATTACTCTATTATGAGTTCTCCCCCCGCTCTCATCATTGACAAAAAGTCAAACTACACAGCATACACACCTAGGCAAAGCACAGAGAAATCAGGCTGGAGCAATAGTCCAAAGGAACAGCTCCCAGTGCAGTAACTTAGATAAAACACAAAAGCAGACATGCACACACAAATAAAGCAGATGCTGGTGGACTAGATAATTAAGTTTAACAATGCTAAAACAAGCATGCACAAACACATAGATTGTACATAAAAATTATCCAGAGCCCATGCAATAAAACATGAAGGAAGTAAATGAGTCACCTTGCCACAAATTGGTGCAACATTGAACTAATATATTTATTGTAAATGAGTGAGGTTGAGGTGCTGGCAGGAGAATATTAACCATGACTGAGCCAAAACCAAACCTGATTGAGTATTTTTTAAACTTGTAAACACAAATCTGTAATTCATGCTCTTGAAATGCTGCATTTGTGCACACTATGTAGAATTCTGTGCTGTTGAATAACTGTCAAGTTACTCTAGCAGGAAGAGCTGAAGCAACCAGACTGTTAGCAGCAAGTTAGTTTCTTTACATTTTGTGACAAAGTAGACTATCTGTCATTTGTCACTTATTTATTTAGGTATTTACTTGTTAGGTTACCTGTTGTTTCATTTGTACACCTTTTGTTTATTCAATTACATTAACCATAAATTAATTTCAGC